ATATTATACATTTATATAATTTTCTTTTACCAATTACAGTATATGTAAGCAATTCTTTATACGCTTAAAGATGATCGTGAATTTATATAAAATTGATGTCCGGAAAATAAAAATGTAAGGACATAAATACAAGCTGCAATCCAACAGTTATATGCATTCTGTTTGTAACCTCTGTCAGCTGCAGCATAAAAACTTGTAGCATCTTCAAACTCCTCTGTGAATGGTATATCTTCTATTAAAGCTACACTTTTTGTGTAGAAAAATATTCCCATTAGGAGCTGAAAGTAGAATGTGATACATTTCTGTAGTATGTTGTATACACAAATATATAAAAATGTAGAAAGAAAAAAATCCAAAATATTTTTTTTACCAAAATATATGTTCTCGATTCGAATTAATGAATTACGTACAATCTCTTAGCAAGAACTACAACAATTGTAATGTCAAATGAGACCTCGGTAAGTAACCTATACGTTCTTCTCGAGAAAAAATTTTAATTGTTATGGAAAAACAATTATTTCTGAAACATCTATTCTCTATTTGGAATTTGTTAGTTTATTTTGTAGAACTATTTTATTAAATACATCAATATAAAGACAGTAGAATAAAGAAATAACTTACTAATTGAAATACGCCCCAAACAGATAATACTAAACCACATAGGGCATACTTAGGTCCGCAGATCTTCATTTTCGATGCTGAAATTCTCACTTATTCGCTTCGTATAGAATAACCTAGGAAGAATAATTATTACCACTATTCTTTTGATGTACTACACCCTTAATAATCATATGATTTTGATCGAACGGTGTCTCAGATATCATACGTCGATATCTCGAACCTCTCGAACATCTATGCTACGATATATCCGGCGTTTAAAAATTTGCCATTCACAAAACGACTAAATAATGCTATACACTTTAACAACGTTGAGTTTTACTTATTATTAAAATAGAATTAAATATTTCACACAAAGATAAATATAAAATTGACATAACTATATTTTATTTTTCAAGTAAATATAATTATATGTTTATAATGTGTATTACTTCAAATGTTTTAAGTTTCAATAATAATAGATGTTCTTTATGTAATATTTTGAGAACACATTCATATATTTTTGTACATCGTAATACATATATTTAATCGTAGATAAAAAATTCATTTTGAATATGACAAGTTTTAGACTAAGCACTGAGTACGTTCATGATTCATACTTTACTTCCTGGTTGTCAGCCCTGATTAGTAGGATCATGGTTGACCGATTGGGTTAGTTTGTGTTTCATTTATCATCATTTAATTAATGTTATATGCTTAATTTCAAGTTTAATTTATTCCTAATATTTGACTTTGATACTTGTAGTATTTGTTCTAGTTGCTGAATTAGAGAATTGCTTACATATCCTACGATTCATAGAGTTGTTTCGGATAACGGTGTAACTCAGTGGCCCGTGTTTTTGACAGTTAAATTAAACACGTAGGATATGAAGTATCTAAAAGAAGTGATTTAGCTTTTTAATGGATTGTGTTCCTTATCGCGTTCATGATTTCGTGAAATATAATTAATGGTTGTTTATTTTCTGTATTCTTATTGTAGTAAATAGCGAGGCTAATGCCAGGCGTATTGCTATGGTCGAAAACTGCTTTGGCAGTTCTGGCCAGGTAAGTGCATTGCTAGAATTATTAAATTTTCTTACACTCAGCTTCATTTAAAACATAATGATATGATGTCATATGTTTTACATCTTGAAATTTAAATACAAATAGAAGATTGAGAATTTAGGAGATACTTAAGTTGTGTTTAATTATATATTTTAGTCACTTGCAGTACCTGGAAGAGTTCTAGTTGGAGAAGGGGTATTAACAAAAATGTGCAGGAAAAAGCCAAAACCAAGACAGTTCTTTTTGTTTAATGATATACTGGTTTACGGTAACATTGTAATGAACAAAAAAAAGGTATATATTGTAGGTTAAAGTTATATAAATGTAATTTTAACTTGGCTTTTTACCTAACAACTTAATGTAATACATTAATTTACTAGAGATATTAAGAAGATTTGTATATTGTTAACAGTACAACAAACAACACATTATACCACTTGAAGAAGTCAAACTTGAATCTTTAGCTGATGATGGTCGTAAGTTATACTTTTACCATTGATTAAGTTAAGTCTCCTAGATTATTGACTCTGTTTACAGACTGCATGAGAGAGTTCAAATATATGTCTACGTGTGCACATGTACATGGAAAACATCAAATTAGTTTTTTATTACGTATTAACTACAAATTAGCAACCAATGTTTAGATTTAAACTGTCATTTATAATGATTTCGAATTTAATTATTATATTAATCTATCATGCATTTAGTGCGGATTAAATTGTTAAAAAAGTACATGAAAATAGTATAGTAGCTCATTATTATTTATAGAATATCGTAATGGCTGGCTTATAAAAACAGTAACAAAGTCCTTTGCTGTTTATGCTGCTACTGCAACAGAGAAACAAGAATGGATGGCTCATATTACAAAATGTATCGAGGATTTGTTAAGAAAAAGTAAGTAATTTTATATTAATTTGATTGATTTATTGATTAAGGTACATACAATTAAAATATATATTCGCTAACAGGTGGTAAGAAACCAGTCGAAGTTCATGCAGCGGTTTGGGTCCCAGATAATGAAGCTACAATTTGTATGCACTGTAATAAAACGCAGTTCACAGTCCTGAACAGACGGGTATAAAGATAGAATTAATTTCGTTTTCAAATTATTGTATATAAATTTAAAATATTTATATTTTTAATCAAATATATTTAGCACCACTGTAGGCAATGCGGAGCTGTTGTTTGTGGACCATGCAGTAATAAAAAATTACTGCTACCTGGACAAGGAAATGGAAAAGCAGTTCGAGTTTGCTTGCAATGCTATGATGCGGCTAGTAAAGTAAAGGCATCATGTCCATCTACTGTTGATAGCTTAAATAATAAGGATCAACAACGTAATTCTGCAGATAGTTCAGGAGGTGACAGTTCTGGTGATGACGATGATGGCAATAAAGAGGAAAATCATGATGAGGTAAATTGTTTCCTAAGATATTTATTTTATATTATAGTCCATAGTAATTTATCACTAACTTATGTTTCTGATGTTGCAGCCTAAATTTTATTCTACACTTGCCCGATGAAATTAATCACACTACATTGAATTATGACATATTACATTGAACAGCAATATAAACAGGACTACTATTCAGAACTATATTTTTAAAAGTCAATAATTTTAAGCTGTCAATGATATTAACAATGATAGTAATTTAAAGATTGTTAATGCTAATCTTAAATTATATTTATGCGATGATTTAAGAAAGAAACACGTCTGTGTATAAATAATTCTCATA